TTTTCGATCCTCTCACTCAGTGCCGTCCACACAGCAACTGTGTCTTTGAAAATATTGAGGGTAAAGTTTGGCAGGTGATCACCACCATCCAAAATCCTTTCTCACTTGGAAAAGTAGGCTTGAGGCCTCACCGAGCAGAATCAAAATGGCTGCTCATATGTTTCTTATCCGGGAGTCACCCTGTCTGACCCGCTCAGTGTTTGTATCTTCCTGACTGTGCTGTACTTCTGTGTCCTGCCTCACTGTCCCTGTGTGCTGTAGTAGCAATGCAAAGGGTGTTTGAGCTGTGGGGCTACCTGTTGGGTATTGAATTAGTCTGCTTTCTTTTATTACAATGAGATGTTGAGGCTGTGTACTTTGCACAGATCAAAGATCCACTTATCTTTCCATTTTGGAGTCTAATAAGCATGGTGCTGGCTGTGGTGGGGGCACTCTGGTTTTGTCAGTTTATCATGGGAGAAAGGAGAGGTCACTTGGCAAAACAGAAAGCAAGGGAGATACTTGCGAGGGGCTGGGCTCTCTTTAATAACAACCCTCTCACTTAATGTAACAGGGGTCACACAAAATTGATATCAATTCTGTGAGGAATCTTTATGCTGAGCTCCATAATGGTTGTATTAGTTTTCATTCCCACTAACAATGTAGGAGGATGCCTTTTTAACTACGGCGTGACAGCATTTGCTATTTTTTTTTTTTATTTCTTGATGACAGCCCCTCTTTCTGGAGTAAAGTGGAATCAGCATTGCTTTAATTTGCATCTCTTTAATAACCTGAGGTGTTGAACGTTTTTTCTTGTATTCGTTGGCCACTTGTACTTCCTCCATAAGGTGTCTATTCACTTAACTTGCCCATTTCTTGACTGGGCCTTCAATTTTAGATGGTCTAATTTTAAAAAATTCTTTATATATACTAGCTATTAGTCCTAAGTCTGAGGAGTAGCTGACAAACATTTTTTTCCAATTTTGTAGGATGTCTGTTTACTCTCCAATTAATTCATTTGCTGTAAAGAACCCTTTAAATCTGATATAATCTCATTTGTTGTTGGTATGGAGAGTTCTCAGAGAACTAAAACTAGAAATTCCTTATGACCCAGCAATTCTCCTTCTAAGTATCTTCCTCAAATATCTTAAGACATCCTACTACAGCTATACCTATATAGTGATATTTATAGTAGCACAATTCATAATAGCAAAACCCTGGAAAATACCCATCAGCAAATGATTGGAGAAATAAGATGTGGCATCTAGATGTAATAGAATACTACTCTGCTGTAAGTAAGGACCAATTTGAAACATTTGTAGGAAAATGGATGCACCTGGAAAATACATTGAGTACAATACATCAGACACACAAATTTGAATACATATGGTATCTATCCTCTGAGTAAGACAAGGTACAAACTAAGAGAAAAATAAAAGCAGGATAGAACAATACAAGAGTATGGATCTCTTGCAGATGAAAATGGGTGCAAGGGACCAAGGGTGAGGGATGAAGACAAGAGGATAGACATATATATCAAGTGAAGATACACTAGGTACAAGGTCCTAATAACATCAATAAATATGGGCATCATACGCCATAAACATGAACTAAGATTAATAATATTGACAAGAATGAAAAGGGGGAAAAGGGAACTAGAAGAGGAGGAAGAGGGGAGGGGGAGAGAACTACAAAATTAAGAAAGCTGTATTCTGTACATGTACCAACTCCCCAAGATGACTGTTAAATGTACTAATAAAAAAGTGACAGCAATTATGTTAGGGGCAATAAGTGGCCCACCTCTTGAAGGTTCCACATCATCTCCTAAGACTGTCACCTGAGAACCACTTTCCTGACAACAAGAACCCATTTTGCAAAACCATGCTCATGGGAATAAAATGATGCCTCATTTTTAACTATCACAAATATCCTCCCCAAATGGCCTTTTGAATTGGGCTTTTAGGCAACGGAGAACAGCCAGCCGTCCACCTACTTAATTCTTCCAGAATTATTTCCATTATATTCCCACTGACTGTTTTTCTTACTCCACTTTGTGCCTACAGAAGACCAGTGGTGTTTAAGAACTACCTGATAGATTCATTTGTCAGCAAGCAAGGTGACGCTACCACTATACCTGAAACATCTGTAATCAAAAGTAGTTAATTGCATGGCAAATACAGTACAGCAGCGGGGCTTTTAAAAATCAATTAGCGTGCAATTCGAGATTAAAAACAGAAGAGAGCTAATTCTATTTTCCATTTTGGTGGTACACCACTTAAGGGATAGGAAAACAATGGCCAAAGTCTTTGCTAAAATCTTTAATAAGAGATATAGAAAATTTACCCAGGTGTCTTTGCTGATCATGCAAGAAAGAGAGAGGTAGTTGAAGATGGCATATTCTCCAGATATCTCCATGATGCTTATTTTTTAAAATGTATTTATTTACTTATTTTTTGGTACTAGGATCAAACTCAGGACCTTGTGCCTTCAAGACAGATGCAGTGCCACTAAGCTAAATCCCTGGCCCTCTGTCACGGTGTTTTGTTTTCCTATTATCAGATGTACACTGGTCTTCTGGCTCTCCTCTGTGTGAGTTACTTGTGCTTACTCATGTTTTTTTTTGTAATTCTGTGATTTTCCTCAAAATCACGTCTTCTTGATGTTTGCTGCTTATCTAGCAACTCTGGAGAGCAGGTCCTTTAATCTGTTGTCTTTGGAGCTGATTGAAGGGAGGTGAAGTGTGCCTGACCTCCATGCCCTTTTCTATGGAATGGAGCCTCAAAGTGGATGTCAGGAACTCATGGTTTGGGGTTTAGTAGCACATGATGTGAATGGAGGCAGTTTAGACACTGGAGAGATCTAGCTCTTTGAAGTTGTATTATGTCTAATTTTGAATATTACACAAAGTAGACACTGTACACATTTTGAAAATGACAAACTATTCCCTCAGCTGAAATTTTGCTCTAACCCCAAGGCAATCTGCTCTACATTCTCTTCTTTCTATGTGTAAGGAAAGAAAGATAGCTCATATAAAAAGGTAATGAAAATAATGCAGTTACAAACTTTGTCCACACCTTGTCATGACTGAATTGTAATTGTCTTCATACAGGTCAAGAGTAAAAGCCACTCATCATAGCTCTTCTTCCCTGTGCTCAGCTGAACTCAGATATCCTGGCTGTGACATTAACTGTGTTCCTTGTCTGGCTTCTGTGTCCCATCTCTCAGTGAGCTTGTGGTGCACAGTTCATTTCTTTTGAGCCTCACCACTTCTGCACTGAGTATACTGTAACTCTAATGGTACTTCTTGGTTTGTAGTCCCAGTCTTCGTTCACAGGTCAAGCCCAGTGTCACAAATCCTCTTCAGGAGATGTCACCTTTCCCTAGCTGGGTCAAATGATACCTCCCTGAAGGTTCACATCTGCTCCTTGAGGTTCCGGGACCCTGCAGACTGAAGCAGCAGGTCCAAGGTTACGAGACTCACTAACACCCCAGCCTCACAGCTTCTGTGGCCACGAGCAGCTTTGCAGTTTTTATACCTGTCCCTTGCATCTTCCTCTATCCCTGAGCCTACTCACTATTTTTACTGCTCTTACTACAGATGCAGAATGATTGAGGGTTGAGGTAATCACTTTCCTCAGTGCATAGAGCATCAGCATCCTTGACAAGGGCATCCCTGATTCCTGAAGATACTCTCTTGTTTTCACCTTTCATCTTCAATTCTACTCCTTTATCCTTTCCTCTACAATTTCCCACGTAGATACATTTCATAAATCTCATTACATGTATATGTATTTTTTTTTTTTTCTGGTACCAGGGATTGAACTCAGGTCCTTGCACTTGTGAGGCAGCCTCCAGAACCACTGAGCTAAACCCTCGACCCAATGTACATGTATCTTTGTAAAATATGTTGCTGTTTTTTGTTTCTTCCATTTCTTTGATTTATCAGGGCTGTCTTTACAACTCCCCAGTGTCCCAAACAATTCTATGATAAACATCCCTTATAAATCCAGGTGAAATTTCCTTAGGTAATGTAACCAGTGGTGGTATTACTGGGGAATTGGACTCCACTTTCTGAATTTTATTGTCTTTTTTTTTTTTTTTTTTTTTTTTTTTTTTTTTTTTTTTTTTTTTGGTATCAAGCATTGAACTCGGGTACTTGTGCTTGCAAAGCAGGTGGTGGAACCACTGAGCTAAATTCCCCAGCCCCTGTATTGCTTTACAATGTGTCTTTGCAAGTCTCTCCTCCCCAGTATAGTACAAGACTGTCCATCTGCATGAGTCTTCAATAACTCTGTGATATCTAAGTCTTGGTTACCATTCTTAAAAGCTATGTTCTTGTGGGTAAAGTGATGTCTCTTTGTTGTATTTATTTACATTTCTCTGTTTACTCATGAGTTTGAAGTCTTTAATAATTTTCTTGCTTTTCTTTTATTGATTGATTTCTTTGGCATTTTTTAAATCAAGCTGCACATTTTCATATGGATTTGAAGAAAGAAATCCATGGAATGTGCTAGATCATGTGCCAAAGTGTTCATCTTTCCTCATTGGTTTGTAGGCTGCTGTTTTCATTTATTGTGTTTCTACATCTACATATTTCTTTCTCTGAGCTTTCTTGCCTATTGCCTTTGGGTTTGTACTAGCCTATGATACCGCTGTAGCTTTGCTACCTGGTAGAACAATTTTTCTTGCCTTCTGCTTAATTTCTTTCCAGGGTCTCTGCCTGAGTGCCTGTGTTATTTTTCTGTTCACCTGTTCTGGCAGAGCAGCCTATGATGTGGTTCTTATAGTTTTCTTAAAATTCTCACATACTACCCTGGACAGAAGTATTCTTAGCATACTTTTCTCTTTCATTTTTAGATAATTCTAGGAACTGGAATTTTTTAATTTTTTTTTTTTTTGCTTCTTTGTAAATTGAAAGGCATGGTATCAGTAACAGTTAATGAAGATATTAGGGAATTTAAAAAAATACACAATATTACAATCTCTCATTCTTCAGCAGCTCTGAAGAACTCCAAACTCACTAGAGTAGACTCCAAGTTCTCTGGAGAATTCCCCTTCCAGCGCTGTCCCTTTTCCATGCTCCATCTGTAACCAAATAACCTGGGATGATTGCATGAAATGAAAATAGAAAAGACAAAGCCAGATCTTATGTTCAGTAACCCTTTTGGTTCCTCCAGCGCTTACATTAGAAAACAGAGGGGAAATTTGAGAAGAAAACTGCTATTGTATCTTCCGGTTTTTGGAGTTGCAAACCTAGGATTCTAGATATAGGACCCCTGCTTAGCTCTTACTTAGCAGCATGTGGATCTGCTGAGCTCCTCATCATCCAAGGAAGACTCCTCGCTGGGGGTTTAGCTCAGTGGCTCCACCGCTGGGAAGCATTCACTTTCCATTGTTCCTTACTAAAGACATCACTAGCTGCATGTGGGTATGCCCTATTCTTTTAGGTTTTGCTTTGTTCATAGAGGTGACTGGTGTGGGGTAGATGTTTACCATGTATTTAAATGGATGAATAAATGGATGAGTGAATGGTATGTAATAAAATTGTGTGTGATGTCTTATTACCCTAAATATATTATTCCTTAGTGATTTTTAGGACAAGAATACTTTCTCATCTTGCTTAATGTTCCTGCATAGTTGTCCTATAGGAAATTTGAGCATTGGTCTCTGTACATGTTGGTACCTTAAATGTGAACTCACGACTCTTTATTCTCATATTATTTGTTTATATCATGAGAAGGGCACTATATTTGAGAGGTGCACAAAGATATGTATATATATATATATATATATATATAGTGATAAATGTGATAAGAGATTAAGTAATGTGAGTGTGGACCCTTGGGTCTCAGAGGGTGTTCACATTTTGATCATGTCACTTAAAAAGAACATGGTCTCTGCTCTTAAGTGAAATAAATAGAACACACATATAAATACTGAATAGTTTTTTTCCTGTGAAAAACTAAAAGTGTAAATAAGGATCAAAATGTATAATTGATAATGTGAAATAGGAAGAAAGGGTCTAAAGTAGTAGGGGAAGTGGGAAGGGTAGGGGAAAGGAAAGAAGGGAAAAGAAAAAATACGAATAAAGGAAAAAACTGAAACAAAGTCATTGTAAATAGGGAAGAGTAGAGGGGGTGAAGGGAGTGCAGGGGAATGGGGAAAAAATAAGAACCAATATACATCATGTAAAGGTACAAGATCCCAATGATGTATTTAACTGTATTGTATACCTAAAATGTATCATTAAACTCAATGAGAAAATATAACGTGGAATTCTTACTGTTAGCTATAAGTATGGTTATGCAATGTTATTTACAACTTAAAAATTAGAAAAGTATAACATACAAGAAGAGAAAATTGTTATTCATATTTTCATTCATTAAAAATCATAAAGTGAATTAAAAAAAGAACATGTCCTTGGGAAGTCATTAACACACTCTTCTACTTAGTCTTTTAACCTGAAAATATTATATTTTTGACAATGAATTACTGTGAAAATTCAGTGAAATAACATGTATGAAAGCCTGGCAGATTCTTAATGCTCCATAATCTTAAGTACTAATGATTTTGTAATCTATCTTACAAAATTTCAAATTAGATAGGGAAAAAAATCATAATATTGAGTCGACTAAACTTTAAAAAGTCTGTGTAGCATATCATAAATGTTCTATGTTGCTTCTATAGTGCCCTTCTTTCAGCCTCCATTTCTTTTAGTTTGCAAACATCTTAAGGATTTTCCCTACCTTGACAGGTTGTTGTTTGCTCCTTCTGGATGCTCTTTCAGCAAAGCAATGTGTTCCTTCTAGTGCCTTTAGGAAACATTCCCATAATATAGCTTCCTGGTCTCTCTGCTCATTTTCTGCTTTCTTTTTATGTTTTGAATTTTAGGGTAAGGGCTGGGGATTTAGCTCAGTGGTTCTGCTGCCTGCCTTGCAAACACAGGGACCCAAGTTCAATCCCCAGTACCAAAAGAGAAAAAAAAACCAAAATCTGAATTCTAGGGTAATAGGCCAGACCAAAGTAAGTATCTGAGTTTCTTAAGGTAAGTGTCTAGGCTCCTAGGTTTACAGTGTGCAAAGAAGTTCAGAAAATTTAAAACAAAAAAAATTTAAATACTCAGTCTTTTACATGAATAAATCTACCAAGGCTGTTGAGATTACCACCCGACTGAATCCTGTATTGGTTCTTTTGCTGGTTCAGCCTGAGTCAGCATGAATGTTTTTTAACAGTTTTCTCCTTGAGAAGGAGGGTATGCATTGTATTTGAGAGTCCTCAGCTTACTGTTTTTCCACATGAGAGGAAAAGGGTGGGGAGAGGAGTGGATTTGTGGGCTAGAATTTCAAGTCTCTATAGTCATTAGGAAGGGGAAAATGTTTGTCCCAGAATTCACTAGTATTTACTTTGGAGAGTTTTGGGATGGGCTTTTGCAAGATCAGAGATGGGAAGAGTTGCCTGGGAGCCTGTGTGACTGACTCATCAGCAAGTCAGGGCCCTCTAATACCTAAAGACAAGTGTCCTCCATGAGACCTGAGCCAGGTTTCCTGGGGCTTTGTTACTCTTCAGTACTGAATTATGCATCTTTGAATGCATGTTAAATGTGTGATAGGTTCAATTTGATTGATATTTTCTGTCTGTATTTTATTTTGGAAAATCTTAAATGTGGTTTAGCTTAGGTTCAATATTTTTAATTGGATAAAATGGATGTGATGAGAAAGGATGATCTGAGGATTCAGCCCTGAGCAGGAGCAAGTGCCTGAGATGAGTCTTTGTTGTCTAGTGCTGGAGATGGAACACAGGGCTGAACTCATGCTAGGCAAGTGCTGTACTACTGAGCTATGCCCCAACCCAGGAGATGAGTTCTTCTGGTTATCCCTGTCCACGTTTTAGTGGCCTCCCAGTTGGCGAGGTTAGAGGCAATCTGGTCTACAGGACTGGTGTCATGAAACTCTTACCTCTAAATTGTCTTTTGCATTTGATGGATATTCAGTGTTCTTTTCACGTTTTCTACTCTAAGGAATTGTATAATGTATTCATGGGCACTTTCATTCTTCCTTTCTTTTTTTCTGTTATCTTTTCTTTAACCTAAAGGAGATGGGTGCACTGGTTAACACAGATAGTTTAGATTCATGTTTCAGAGTCAGGTCCCTCACCTTTCAGTTTAGTAGTAACCGTATTCACAAATGTATGTACTCAATTAATAATATAAATAATGAAGTCCAATATGCTCTCTAGAGTTCCACAATCCATAGGGCAAAGACATGCTCTCATGCTCCTGTTTCTGATTTGCAGATGAAAACAAGCCAGTGAATAATATTTTGCATTGAAAATAGTCCCAGTGATAGTCCCAAGTGAGAACATGGTGCACATTTCCATAATTCTGCTCCCTCGAGAGCACAGGTACATTTAATTTCTCCCAACTGTTACCTAAATGAAGAACAGCATGAGGAATACACAGAGAATGAAAAATCCACGTGTGGGTAGAGCACGACCACTAATCTTTCCTGACATTTACTTTCACTCACGAGCACAGGGGTGACCAGCCCCACCACTCCTAGATGCTCAAGATAAATGTCAGCACCACCCACTGGAAGCTTGCTATGCATACATGCTTATTGGGAATCAAATTTATTTGGCTGTCATACACCGAGGCTTGGGAACTCATCCCACAGAATGGCATGGGTTGCTCTGACACCCTACTCACCACTGCTGTTTGATAGAGTTATGGAATGGTAGAATAGTTTGCTGCATTTTTACTGGAATGACCTCCCCAAACACCTATAAAAATAAAAATGATTAAGCTTAACGGTTTCATTTCTTATGGCTTTCGTTCTGTGCTTTGTCTCTCCATGTGCCCTACTGCCAAATTTCCCAAGAGCATCTGCTCTTCCTATTGTGAGCACAATGAGCTGGTATGTGACATGCAAGAGCTGTCCTACATGTGCCAAATGGCCGTGTACATCGTAACTGTCCTTCGGCTAGGCTCTGCCAAATGCTCAGGTGCACACCACATTTGCAGCTTGAAGCAACAGGAGTTGCAGATTTTGTGAGCAATTGCTTCTGTCCCTTAAAGGAAAAAGGGGGGATTGACTTTTAAGGTCTTGCCATCTCATTGACTAACTTACTTCTGGTCCTGTATAGCCATTTTAACATTGCACTTGAATAGCATGGCTGAAGGCTTACGTAAATATACCTGGTAAGGGTTAAAATTGTAGTCAGAAGGAGGATGGCTTTTTTCTTCTTGGCACTACATACTATAAGGACCTTATGGTCAGTGAAGAAGTCAAGTAGGAGTATTTATAACCCATAGCAGTGTGAATTGCTTTAATGGAAAAACAAACAAACAAGGAAACTAATCTCCATTCTTAGGGTGGTATGAACAGTATAGTATAGTAACTCTTCATCTGGCCCCTGATAAACAAGAACAGCCCAAATAATTCATGGAGAAAAATAAAACATTAGCTAAAGAGAAAAAAAAAGTCACTCAGATAGTTACAGTGTCTTTCGTTAAGGTCCCCATAGCAGAAATCTAGGGCTCTGTAAAATAGCTATGGAACCCTAGTTTTCAAACTAGGATGATGCATATGTTACAGAAATGTCTCCTTAGTTTAATAAGGTTGTTGAATGCTGCTTATATAATCCACAGTTTGGAGCATTGCACTGTACATTAGCATATTGAGGGCAGGGAGCAATTTCTCTGTTTTGAAATGACTAACTTGTTTGACCCAGTTTTTCACCTGTATGCTTGAGTGTACCTGACCAGGAACCTTTCAACAGAAATAACTATTAATGTGCTGTATCTAACAAGTCCCCTGGAATGCAGTTTAGGAAGCACAAATCTCTGGGTTCTGTTCAAATACCCTCATAAGAATACAAAAAATGTTATAGGCCACACTATAAACGATGTAAAACTCTTGAATCAGAAGCTGAGGGGCCTTTCAAATATATTGTCCTTAATATTTTCACATCTATGAACAGAAAAGCAATTGTGCTGTGTTTACCAATGCTGTGCACTAAAACACAGAAAGTCAAGGTTACCTCATCAAATCGGGGTGTAATTCTCCCTACCTCACCTTGGTCTGCTT